AGATGAACCAATATAAAAATATTGTGTTTTATTGATTACTCTTATTGACTCTTCGTTTATTGTAGATATTATTTCACGAACTTAAAAACGTGTGAGATTTTTATATACATTATTGAATCGCCCTTCTAGCGTGTATCTTTTCTCCACATAATTTTATCACAAAGTGAAAGCAATTGCACAATAAAATAAAATATAAATAAAATATTAATGTATTTTAACACATTAGATATAGTAAAACAATCATTATAAAAAAATATTACATATAGTGGCATACAAAAATTGTCACTATAAATATAATATATATAGGTATAAATTTATTTAATATATAGTTATAATTTTAATATAAATTTTGAATAAAATTAAATAATATATGTAAGACTCCTCCTGCAAGTCTTTCTCTCTCATTTTCCCCTTCCTTCCATTACTCTCTTCTCATTCCCTTTCTTGGCTGAAATATGGGTGTTAGGGTTTGATTTGGAAGGTGGAGCTGTTGAGAATCAAGAAGAGCAGCAAAGCTAATCTTCCTCCCCGAAGCAATTTTATTTCTCTTCTTCTTCTTCTTCTTTTTCTCTTCCCCGGGAGCTCGGAACCAAAATTCTTCTTCCTCCGAGGTAAGGGAAGCTAGAATTTGTTGATTTTGGGATAAAATATTGTATTGTTACAACAAATTGCTGGTTGCATGTTGATTAAATTGGAGTGTGTGGAATTAGAAAGAGGGGTTTTAAGTTGTTTGAAGAATGTGATGGATTGGGTTGAATTTCTTGTTGCACGTGGGGTTTGTGATGTTTTCTGAGTTGCATGTTGATGGTAGGACTATTTTCTTGCAAGTGCAGGTGTTGGGTCTCTTCGGGTTTTAAGTTTTGATGGATTTTGGGTGAAAAACATGTGGGAAGCTAAGAGGGTATTTCGTATTCGTGAAGAAGAAGTTGCATTTGGATCTTATTCACATCGGATAAGTGTTGTGTTTAGGGTTCCATTAAAGGGTCTTATTGGGTTGTTGTTCATATATAGGTTTCAATTTAGTGTTTGAAATCGTGTGGGACCGAAAATGGGTTTTTTAATAAAAGGTTTTTTGTTGTAGGGTTTAATTTTGTTTTTTGTGTGGTCCCAAACAATGGGTTGCTGACATCTTGTACTGTCTTTTGCATATTTTGGCATGTATAGATGCATATCTTGGCCCACTGATACAATGATAGACTTATCCTAATTTAAGATGAAGGTTCAAATATGTTTCCAAATTTTAAGATGCCCAACAATATGGAAGATTATAAGTGAAAAATGGGATTGTATTTTTTGAGTAGAGAACAATTTAAAGATGCAATTACAATATATGTTGTTCATTCAGGGAGAAATTTCAAATTTACAAAAAATGATAAAAGAAGAATAAGGGTCACATGCAAACAAGGATGTCCATGGGTAGGATGCTATGGCAAAGTACCTTATGAAGAAAGTTGACAATTAAGGAAGATTGTTGATAGACATACATGCAGTAGGGACCACAACGTGACTTTGTTGAGTTCAAAGTGATTAAGTGAAAAACTTAAAACTTCAATTAGGGAGAATCCAAAACTGAAACTGAATGATATTAGATAAAGAGTGCAGAGGAAGTGGAATGCTAACATATCTAAGGCCATGGCAGCAGGTGTAAAAGTTTTGGCCATAACATATCTACTTGCAAGGAAAACCCAAGTAATACGCCAATACCAAATGAAGCACCTCAACCCACCCAACTACCTCAACCCACCCAACCATGTGAGCCCACCCAAACCTCTGAACCCACCCAACAATGGAAACCATGACAAAGTTGAAGATTGTTGTGTGTTGGTTTTATTTTGAAATAGTATTTTGTGTTTAGCGTTTATTGATGATTTATGATGTAGTAGACTTTTGAGACAGTGTTGTGTATGACAATATTAAGTGTTAATTATATGACAATATTTAAGTTTATAAGACTATTATGTATGACATTACGTATGACAGTATTAAGTAAATGTGATAAAAAAAAATGTGCTAAGTAAGAGTCGTGAAAATCACTCCCGTGATTCTCAATCATGCTCATGATTTCACAGTGTGAATCACATAAATAAATCTACTGAGTAAGAACTATGAGAATCACTTAAAAAATGTGCTATGTACCAGCGTGAGAATCATGCCCGTGATTCCCACAGTGTGAATCACTTCAGAAATGTGCTATGTACCAGTGTGAGAATCACGCCCGTTGGCATCTACGTAATCAACATTTAACACCATTTGTGAAATTTGGACGAAAGTTCCACATTGATGTCTTTTAAAATAAATTGGGACTAAATTAAAACAAAAAATTAAAGTGAAACCAAATTAAAACTTTTTAATATTATAAGGGACCAAATTAATCATTTAGCCATTTTAAAATCTACGATTCATGAACATATATTTTAAATGTTTTTTACTTGTTAGTCAATCCTAGGTGCTGGATATTTGTTTTTGATATTATGACATTACCGATGGCTGCAGAATGCGTGCACCGAAATAAATTCCATGTTTTAGGAGCGTATTAATCTGTCCAACTATACGATGGAATAAATAGAATTAGTTTTCGACAAAAATGACATGTACAAACGTTAATGAGTACATCATCTCAATTTTTTTATTTATGTTCTACTTACAAAGGAATGAAAAATAAACTAGGCATGAAAGAAACAAACTGAAAAGCTATGTCATACACATAAAAAAACTGATTGCACCTATCTTAATAGGAAAATCACGATAAATGTTAAGGAGTATATCATCTAGGAAACTCTGGTGCTAGTACAAACTTAGAATCAGGTGCCCTTGAAAAATATTGCTATTAGAGAAGGTGGTAGAGACTAGAGATGGCCTGTAATGATTTAAAATTTGCACTTTAGTTGTGTAGTATCTGGTGGCTCCCTCAAATATAGTATGCTAACAAGTACATTATTCGTGTATTCGACATGAAAGCAAAGCCAGACAGATAGAAAACCAATGAGTTATCCCCCCCGAGATAAAACAAAATCCTAATGTTTACAACACAAATATATTTCAATGTTACCACAAGAAGAAATTACTATATAATAATAATATCATTATCATATTCAATTGCTATCAATTTAAGATATGAAAGCACTGCACTTGGTGAGTTATAAGGTTTTTCTTTCGAGGGAAGAGGGTTGACTTACAATATCTTAATTTCTGCAGGTCGATGTTATAATATAACAGTATATATTCAAAAGGATCTCTAATGCAATATTTATTTCAATTGGAAATTGTATTTCTCTCATGCGTGATGGACTAGGTCTAGGTGTTGTAGTATGTAAAAAGAACTACTTGAATTAATAAATGCCACTCTCTGGAGCAACAAGAAAAACCTTGTCTCACTGGGTAGCCTTATCTGATAGGACTTAGGAGCCAGAAATCCAATAAACCAGAAATGAAATTCAACAAAATATGGAGTTATTTTTATGGTATTTGTTTAAAGGGATATTTTATAAGGTTATTTCACACGTAATTCTATAATTAATAAGATATTGTCCGTTTTGAGACTAAGTCCTTGTGATTTTATTTTTGATCATCATCCAAAAGACTTGAGATATTGTCTACTTTGGACTCAAGTTCCCATGATTTTACTTTTGGTTATCACTTAAAAGATCCCTTAATCATTGAAATATGTGTCTTTAATAAGTTTTTATTCTTCTCTTATTTTATCGATGTGAGATTTGTTTGTATCCCAATAATTTCAAATATAAAATTTAGACAAACTAGATGGTATTAAGTGGAAACAGAAGATAGAAGAGTGACGGAGGTTGATTCACGCTTAAGCAAGGTCAGGGATTCGAATCTTTCCTTGTGTATGCAGCCGCATTAAATCTTGGAGTCAGCTATCCCACCCTTTGAGGTGCCTCTCTCGTAGCGAGGAGATTAGTCACTGCTATCAGCGGTTATTAAATGAACAAAAAAAAAGATAGAAGATAGAGAAATACTCCTTACAAGAAAACAGGATCAAGGTAAAAGGGCCACCTATCATGCTCTGTTATGCCCCCTAACAGTTTCCATGTATCCATAGGCCTATACAGGTACATCTCACTCTACAAAAATCTTCTTAAATTTTTCTGAGTTCTGACCATTCAGCTTTGATTCTAGTTTGTGTTTCCACTGCCAAACCATGCTCTTGTTGCAAATGAAGTGCTTTCTCCACCATCTCGTATCTCCGGGTTTTAAGTGTTTTTCCTTCCTCAAAGATATTCCTCTTTCTGATAGATTATTTTTTTTTTTCAATTTCAGAATCAGAGTAGTTAGCTTTAATGGCCTTGATTTCCTCTTCTAGATTCTCTTTTCTTTTCTCCATCTAAGCTAACTTTTCTTGCAGTTCATTTTCCAAAGCCACTACTACTTCCATGAACCTGTTCTTGTTACTCCAAACCCGCTTCTAATTCATCAGTTGTCTGAAGACTGCAGTCGGATATCAATTTTCTTACTGGCTTCAGTGTAATTCCTACTCTAATGACTGAACTTCTTGAAGCTTATATAAATATATGATATCTATGATTTAAGTAAAATATTTGAAAATTATAAAAATTAAAAATAATAATTTTAAAATTAAGAAAAAATTAAATTTATTTTAAATTTAAAGAACTAAAAATATATTTAATTTTAATTTATATATATAAAAAGAAGATTTATATATTTATAATATAATTAATATATTAAAAATATTTATTGTAAACTTAATTATATAAAAATGAACATTATCTTATCCAATATACAAATTAAAATATTAATTATCTTAAATTAAATTAAGTTAGAAAATATTTTATATTTGTTTACTAAAATATAATAAAATGATTTTAATTTATATAAATAAACAATTGTTTATAAGATATATTTACTTAAGTTAAAATTGTTAGTTACTAAAATACATGAAATTATGTGCAAACGTTAAATTAACAAATCATATAAAAGTCAACTTTACACAAAAATAAATAATTTAATAAATAATATAGGAAGAGAAAAAAATTGATGACTTGCAGAAGAAATGGAAAATGGAAGCGGTAACCATGAAATTGGTACTAGGGTTTTAAAGGGGGTCCGTTATTATTTCACCAAGCTCCAAAAAGGAACAAGAAATAGGAAATTGGAGGAAATGGGTTTGCAATTAAAGAATAAAGTCGATTCCTTGGAAGCAAAAGAGAGTGATTAACAGAATGATGGAGGAACAGAGGGTTGCACAAGTTGAATTGGCGAAGCAGAGGTGCAAGTGCGTCATTGATAGCATTGACAAGTTACCTTGTTCCACCAACATCACTCACTCGTGCAGGCGAACCCTCCTCAAATTGGCACGTGCCGAGCTCGCTTTCCTCTCTCGCCCCTCTTCTTCTTCTTCTGCACCCCTCAGGTAACTCGTGTTCAATTTTGTAAAATGTTTGCATTTGATTAAATTATGATCACTCTTTTGAGTTGTCAGATATGGTTAACTAAAACCTACATAGTGGATTTGAATCCTCTCGTCATGTCATGATGTTGAGTAACATGATATGGTCATGGTTGTATTGGAGAGAAGAAAAAAAAAACAATTTTTATCAAGGAAGAACTTACCATGATTGATTGTAGCATCCAGTGTTTTAAAAACCAAACTTTGGATGGATTTAGTCAAGGTACTGGGTCATTGAGATTCATGGTTGAATCGTGATACTTGGTATAATATATACTTTTTGTATTGAATATATAATACAAAAATTATATTTTTCCTAAAATTAATAGAACAATACCTTGGCACAGTTGGTTCCATCCCTTTTAAGCAACCTCAAGGATATATGACATGGGGGAGCGTGAGAGTTTCAAGCTTTTTTTTTTTTCTTTCTTAAATTGCATAAACTGGTCCAAGTTATAACCTGCTGGTTCATTGGTTTGATCGGAAAACCAGTTAGGTCATACAGTAAATACCGAGTTGATGGCATTTTCAATTGAATAAAAGGCTCAGATTGGCTAGACCATCGGTTACTGGTCTCCAACTGCCTGAGTCCGTTTTTAAAACATTGGTAGGACCAATAATTATATTAAATAAAATTTTGTCATGTCTTATTATTTTGAATAGTGGAGTCCAGAAGCAATCTTTGTGACTCATCCTGTAATGTCTAATGAAGCTTTGAGAAATGCTACCAACACAATATTTTAGTATGTTGAATTTAAATGGGCCCTGCAAAGAAGAGATTTGATTCAATTATTTGTAGAACTCACATGAAATGCTCCTAATAATAAGGAGTGTGCTGGAAAGAGTGCATCTAAAAGCATGTTATTACTTGTTTGCATTCTTCATGAAACATTTACCAGTACCTATTACATTGTTTGTGACTGGAAGGATTTATTGTAACTTTACTCTGCTGTGGTGGCTTTCATTTTGTGTAAATTACTTATTTTTAATCTTAATAGAGAAGAGATAAAAAATGTATGTCTCCTTTTGTTTGAGTCATGTTTTCGTCTTTAATACGAGTACTCTTGGTTAGGCGTAACTATTGATGTTTTCTACATTACTTTTCTACATTGCTTCTCAATTTATGAGCATTTATATGTATGTGATGAATATACCAGTGTCAACATCGGGCACCTCGAAACAGTTGTACATATTCTCCAGCAGCCTTTCATAACTGGTGTTTCTCGAGTTTGCAAGTCAGTCCCACTCTCACCATCAGTTAGTAGTGAGGAGAGACGTGGTTCTTCTCTTAAACACATCCATGTTGACGTGGTTTGTACCCTCAACAGGAAGCCTGTCTGGATTATAGCATCTGATAGAAATCCAGAGTACATTTCTTGGAATAGATGCCGTAAAAGTAAGGGTTTAAAGCAACGCATTCAAGAAGTCCTTGCTGCAGCTCAATCTAACTTAACATTAAGACCTTCCTCAGTTATTCTTTTCTTTGCCAATGGACTTGCTACCAACATTTACAACAAACTTCAAGATGAGTTTGGGGCATCTGAAATCGGCTTGGATTTCTCAGTTTTCAGTTCTGATGTGTTGGAAGAAACTGAAGGTGACTGGATAAATGTTATTGCAAGATCATATAGAAATGCATGTGTTCTTGAAATCAACCCTGCCGATGGCAAGCATGTTGTTCCAAATTCTGGATGTGGTGTTCAAGGTTCAACTGTGGACTCTTCCCAACTAAAGCTTTCAGTAGGAAAAGCTGAAACTCAACCACAACTATTGGAAGAAAATGCCAGAAGTGGGGACTCCTTTCATATTGAGCTTTCAGTAGATGAAGCCAAAACTCAAACACAACCTACCAAAGAGAATGTCAGAACAAACTTGGGTGATACATTTTGTTCCATTCTTATGGGAATTAAACCAAGTTCAACAGAGAATAAAATGTCTGAATCTGCTTCTGGGAATCTTTTTGGTGAGACTGATCTGGTAAATTTTGATACAACAGCTTTGATAGCTCTTGTATCGGGAATTAGTAATGGTGGAACAGAGCAACTTTTGGCCACTCCAGAGAGTGAAATGAGGCAGCGGTTTAAGGGAAACTTTGATTTTGTGATTGGTCAAGTAAGTTATATTATTGGGATTTCCACCACTTGCTTTGTGTTCTAAATTTTTGCATGCTTACACTTATATTATGTAGTGGTAGAACATTTGATGATTAATAAGATCAGCCATTATTTTATGTAGTTTTTATAAATTATTCTGATTGTTGTCAGCATCAGTTGAACTGATAAAAGCTTTCCTCATTTTTTTTGGTAGATAATGTCTGAAATTCAAAACCCAATCCATACGGAATTTGGTAGATTCCTACAGGGTAAGACTGGCCTAATTTGTGATAGTGTTCTTATGGAATTTAAGGAGTTAGTATCAATGTGTGGTGGGCCCAGTGAGAAACTGAGAGCTGTCAGGTTGATAAATTGTCTCAGGTGAGTTTAATCTATGTTTATATTTGCCAAAAAAAAAAATTGCGAAAGAAAATTATTTTGACATTACTAGTTTGTTAACTGTGCTACATAGTCAATTGGAGGATGTTTTGCTAAACTTATGCAGTTGCATTTAACTACATTTAATGATTTCTTTTACTACCTAATCTTATATGTATATAGTTCACACTTGCATCAAGTGTCTGTGTACATGCTATTTTTTGTCCTTTTGCAAATGCCTAAAGTACTATTTGCAATCTTTTGCACTGACAAGTTGAAGGATCATCGCAGGGTTGTTCCTGATACTCCTTCAGAACGTATGATGGGCCTCCCAACAACTAGAAAGCTGGCATTGAAAAACAAGGTTGTATTTGGCACCGGTGATCATTGGCATGCCCCAACTTTAACTGCAAATATGGCGTTTGTCAGAGCAGTCTCACAGACGGGGATGTCCCTTTCTACTATTGAGCATAGACCAAGAGCCTTAACTGGTGATTAGTGACATACATTCATGAAAACATGTATTGAGGCATTCATTCACACTCCACAATTTCTGGTACTAAAATCTATTTTCAACTAAATGTTTGTCATGTCTAATAATAAAAAATCTATTGCATAAAGAAATAGGCAGATTCTCTTGGTGACTGTTGAGTGTCTTCTTAGTTAAATAAAGGTGTAATGGTAGTAATTTGTGAAAGATGAACATTATTCCCAGTGGTCAGTAGAATAACAACATTTATCTGATAATGTATTTGGATGCTTGTATTGGATTTTTTTTTTCTCTCTTTCTGATTAGTATTTACTGAAGTATTATAATCCCAAATTCCCAATTCTAGGTGGCAATATTAAACAATTAATTTTTTAATGGATATATGATTACCATATAAACATGTTTGTGTCATCAATGAGTTGCTTCACCCAAGCATCACAATATTTTGTCTCAACACTAAGATAATTACTAGTTGATGTTTCATTTTCTTCCATAGCACTTATAAATTTCCATAACCAAAATAACTGTTCAGTTTGCAAATTTTGAACTTTTCCATAATCTGACAACTATGATATTTATGCAGAAGAGTCAAGTCATATGGGCTACGACTTTTTGTATTTGATGCTTCAATCATCACATCCTTTTTACCTTGGTGCTTTAGCAGTGTCAATGTTACTTGTCAAATGGAATCATCATATTTAATTCCGGAAGCAGCAAGGTTTAATTGAATAGTCACCAAGAAAAATTGGGAAGATTTAAAGGATTCCTGCAGTTGCTGTGAATATAATGATCAGGAACAAGCAAGCATAGTGTCCAACGCATGCACTTTTAAATGCAGCCTCTTTTTGGTAGTGTTGAATGTATTGTTAACACAGCACATAGTAATGATCTTGAGGACCCTTTTCTGATCTTGAGGACCTGGAGCTACCAATGGAGCTCTTTGGTGGTGGTGGTGCTTCCACCTCACAGGTTGGATGCCAAGTCTATTTTCTGAGCTGCCATGAATACAAGCATACTGAGTGCTCTTATTATCTCATCTTTTATGATGGCTACACCCCTTGTGTTTGGTTCAAGTGAACAATGAGTGAGAATAATATAATGTTACTGCTCTGAGCAAAGACAAAATGGCATAGCATATTATTATTAGCATAACCAATATCGTCGTTTACAAGATGCAACTATCTCCAATGTGCAATGATAACTAGGCAAAATAGTTTCTACATTCTCCGGGGAATTGATTTCTTCGATGACTTTCTCTTTTTTCTTTTTGAAAAAATAAAACGCAGGTGTTATCTTGGCATGTGGATGACACAACGAAGACACTTTCCTTCCTTCATGAGATTGAAAGCTTTGTTAATGTCATCAAATGGCAAATTGTGTGTTATGTAGTCATCAATCTGGATTTCCTGCGTATTGTTAATCATAATATTAGTACATATTGTTTTTGCTAAAAACACTGCTTGAGGGAATGCGTATCCAAAATCAAACTAAATAACTATTACTTCCGTCCTTGGTTATAAGACTCTTAATTAAATTACATTCTTTAAGTAAATTTGTCAATAATTTTAATTATTTTTTTTTATAATCAACCTTTTTTATCTAATTAATTAATATTTGGAAGAGAGAAATATTTATTATGTATTTATCTTTTTCAATCTTAATAAGGGAGAAAATTGTTTTATCCGATTAATTTTAAAAAGTTATTAATTATAGATACTTTAGAAAAATATAATTAATATATATATAATCTTATATATAGATACTTTTAAAAAAATATTAATTAAAGATGGTCGTATAAAGAAGATAAACAAGAAAGTAAAAAAAAAAAAAATCTTATATATAGAAGGATGAAGATAGTATAAAATAATCCATGAGGGAAAAAGCACATGAAGCAAGAATCTATTTTTAATATGCATTTGGAGTTGCGTTTCCAAATCTTTCCACCCTCTCCAGTCTCCCCTCCAAAAAAACTAAAAATAAAAAACTTTCAGACTTTGGATAGCTCATCACAGACAGCTAAATAGCTCATCACATCCCCATTCTAAACAATGTAAGCTAGTTTTTTTTTCTTCTTCAGGTAATTAAGATAACGTGAATTTTTCCTCCACTTCAATGCGCATTAACAATACAATTAAAGCAGATAGAAGTAAAACAAGCGCATGCAACAGCTAAATCAACATAGACTAAGACATTCATAGACAAAGCATATAAAAGCAGAGTAAAACAGAATGTTCTCAGGGTAATGCTACAACAACTGTTTACCTTTGCAAAAACTCATTTTTGAACCATTAGATTTACCTTTTAATCTGTGTGGTGTCAGTTCAAAACATTATCTACACAAATTAACATGAAATATAATGGCTCTTCATATTTGTTGTCTTCTCTCCTTTAGTGTTATATATTCATGTAACATTACTCAATTTCTATGTTTTCTATAGAAATGTTCTCATCACTGGCTAATGAACATAATTATCTACGGACAAAAATGGCATTTTCAAAAGTCATAGAATACAATTTATGCAGAAGGTAACAACCTAAATTGCCAGGCTTCCTAGGAATTGGTTAGATAAGTATATGTATCCAACAAGGGGATGGATGACATTTTGGTCAAGAAATATATAAAGTATTCATGCACAGATTGGGAAGTATTTCTGGTACTGTTGTTGTTACCTTGTTGATATACTTCTCTACTAATGAAGGCAAGTCAGATTTTGGTTTCCATCCTCCAAATAGAGATCCTTTCAATGTTCTTCCCATTAGGAGAAGTCCATAATGAGCTGACATCTCAGGCTTCACCTTTGGCACACCAAGTGTTACAGCCGTACCCCATCCCTATGTAAAGCAAGGAAAGATAGAATGGAATACAAGTATAAAGAATATAAAGCTTGTAAATGTTAAAACATGAATTTTAGCTATATAGAGTATTACATCACAGCATGACTGCAATGCAGTGGTTATCATATCAGTGTCACCGACACACTCGAACGAAAAATCTGCCCCACCATCAGTAATGCGCTTGATAACCTGGAAATTTTCAACCTATGTAAATGGTTGTGACTTCAAAACTTTTCTTTGTGTACATTTTTTTTGTGCCGAAGTAAAGTCATATTTAACCATAATAAGATTAACAAAATATAAACTTGTATGGATCATACACAGGACAGTACCATAGGTGTAATTGTTGTTGTTCTCCAATCAGAATGGAAGTTTCAGATCAGTAATACATGTAAATATATATCAATGAGGTTTGCATTAAATTTAAATGTATATTATCAAAGTGAAACTCCAATTTTGATAGAAAAACAGCCCAATTGCACCTGTAGTATTGTACTAAGTTTTTTCCTCATACATATGTAATATTTGATCTAGCAGCAAACTTTTGATAGTCATCAATTACAGTTATATACAATCTTCTCCAAATGATAAAATATGAAAAAGTCAAATCAGATAATTTTGTAATGAGAAGAACAAAACCCACCTGAGCAATAGGTTCTTTACAGGAATTTGGGTCAACAACTTCTGTTACCCCAAAAGCTTTAGCTGTGGTGTCAACCAGCAAGACAACAGTAAGTAAATCAAGGGATTAATTGAATATAAATTTAGACTAATACGAGGAATCAAATATGGTACCATTTTCACACTTCTGTGGATTGTTGTCCACACCAATTATGCGAGATGCACCTCTTAGTCTGGCAGCTTGTGCAACCTAATTGAAAAGAAAGTTAATTACAATTTGGAAAATATTATCACCCATCTACTAAGAGCTAAGCTAGATACAATTGTTTAGTCTCTGTACTTACAGATAGGCCAACAGTTCCAAGACCAAAAATCACCACAGTTGACCCTTTTGACACGTCAGCAACATTCCATGCTGCTCCCAAACCTAATGTTGTAATACAATGAGTCCCATAATCAACGACGCACAATTGATCAATAACATTGACAACACTAAATGGGATCTAAGGCTCTCACAGTGCCTAGTAACAAAAGTTCGTAGTAAATTATATGTGAGGATTAAGAAAGAGAATGAAAATGAGTCCAGCATTTGTGTTATGGACTACAAATTCATCCAATGCCACTTGGAACTATTGCTTCAATGGCATTCCAATCTTCACTTATGCCAGTCACAATAGCTCAAGCATCATCGAATCTAATTTAATATTTAAACATTTACACTATTTGGTGTTTCCTGCCATTCATTTCTGGACCTGCTTTGGTTAATAATCTGGAATAACAGTACTGAATTTTGAATCATTATACATTGAATTATAATCAACTTAGTTTCCATTTTATCTGGAAGTCCTGAAGCTGTAACAAATCATCAAGTAACATCCCTAAACTTGCGATTAAAAATCCATTTTCCAACAAATTATTGGGCTCAAAGTCATTAATTAATATTATATTTGTTTTCATTCAAAAAAATTATCATCAATAAACAAGATATTAAAGGAATCAATACGAAACAAAAATAGATGAGGACATTTTAAAGGGTAACCTATGTGACAAGCAACGATGAGCCTGGTGATGGAACACTTATATGCCCTAAAATCAACTTAAACTGTAAGGAATGCTAGACCTTTGACAACCAGTGTCAGATACGCAACAGCAATTGTTAAAATGCAAAACAACATAAATGGAAATCATTATCTTGGCGACTGCAGCTAAGAGGATCACTTTTGATGATTTTACAATTATACATATTCACTTTGTTCATTTGCAAAGTTAATACTGTTCCTTTATAATTCAAACTTCTGAACACACAGATACAAGTCATGCCTCTTCTAATTATCCGCAGGGAACAACAAGAAAATAAGACAAAAGAATCAGACAGACAAATGGCTATTAACCAACACTACCTCAGTTAAATAATTTAAGTACAACTCCTTTGATCTATTCCCTTCTATTTCTTAGAACTAATAATAAACTTGAAACATACCTGCAGCAACCCCACAGCTCAGAAGGCAAATTTTCTCGAGAGGAGCAAGAGGGCTAACTTTCACTGCACATCCGGAATGGACTACTGTATATTCACTGAAACTTGAAACAGCACAATAATGATAAACAGGCTTCCCTTTTACTGAGAATCGTGTCTTCTGATCACTATGCATTAAACCCCTTCTTTCCAACCCCAAAACTTGACAAATGTTACTTTTTCCAGATGTGCACTGCCTGCATGCCATGCATTCTCCAATGAATACTGTTAGCACATGGTCCCCCTCTTTGAATTCAGTCACTCCCAGTCCCACACTCTCTACAATCCTGCAAAACTACACTTAACATTCAATATCTCTTGGGAAAAATATAAATTTTGCAATGATTTAGCTAAAGTGATGTCTATGATGCAATGTATCACATTCCCATATGCATAGTGTAATAACACTCTCTAACATCTATATTCAGTAGTATTCTCTGTGTCTGTGCTGATGCTGCTGCACACTCATAGTTGATCATTGTCACCCTAACTGAACTTGGAACATCAGTATTTGATCCAATTCTCATACTAGCCAATTGGGTAACTCTTACAAAAACAAAAATTCTTAAGAAATTCAAAGAAAATGACCTAAGGATCAATAGTGACTCAATGTTGCCTTATTCCAAAAATAGAACATAAGTGTAGATTACCCTGATGCTTCATGGCCAAATATGCGAGGAAATATGGCCTGCAAAAACAAAAGCACCTTGTGTTGAGCGCTTAACTCAATGCAGTCCATGGTTTTTTAACACAAGATACAATAATCATGACAAAAAAGAAATATTTATCAGCATACTAATCCACCACCACTTATCATTTTTAAAAGAACAGGAGACATACTCTGGAGGAATGAAACATTCAATTCAAGATTTATTAGTAAAACAATAATCAATCAAATTAAACACCAAATGTTGATAGGTATACAATGCCTAAGATGTTATTGAAATAGTGGTTGCAGGAAGTGCACCTTGTTACCCAACATATGATTAGATTAATATCCATGAGTTCAATTTTAATACATTGTCAGAGTAAAAAACTTTTACACTATCAACTAGTTAGAAATAACTTTAGTTATGACTTTTAAAAAAATTAGTAAAGAAGTCAATAATTTTCAATGATATGACAACTCATGATCACATGATAATATAAAAAACCTTTACCAAGTCAATATATTTTCGATCTTAGGATTTTATTAATCAGTGCCCTTCCGTAAGGGAACGAACACTGATTAAAGATTCAAAAGTAAAGGTTTCTTTTTTTGGCAATCATGGAAGTTGTGAAACAAAAAAAATTTCCCTTTTTCATTTTTTAACTAATGCACAAAGGGAACTTGTCAACATTTTCCTTTCAATAAAATTTTAATTTTCATATTCCAAATGATCAATGAAAAGTTTAATGAAACAAACTCTACATAAACGATGGAACATTGACACACTTCAAATTGGGCATGGCATGGCATGAGTAATCAACATGGTGGGTGAAGCAAACAAAACAAACACTTTGGTTTGGAGTGAGCAAAACTAGTAAACTCAATCAAATCAGAGAATAAGAAGTAGACTTACATGAGATTCCCAAGCAGAGAGATCACTGCGACAGAGAGAGGTGGAGACAACCTTAATCCTAATCTCCATCTGTTGGGGAGGACTCACTTGCACTTCCTCCATCACCAATGGCTCCCCAGCTCCCCATGCCACTGCAGCTGTTCCATGTCTCCACATAATGCCATTAACAATGTCCATTAAGTGATATCAAAACAGGAAAAAAGAGGGGGAAAAAAAAGGGTGGCTGAGTTTACCTTTGCAGGTGATGACTTGATGAGAGGTTGAGGATGACATGTTGATGTTGGTGAGTGAATAAGATTGAGAAAATGGAAAAGAAAAGGGTACTTGAAGTAGTAGTTGTTGGTGGTTGTGGTGGTAGGTAGAGTCTTTGAAGCACAGGGTTAGTTGGTGTTATTGGTATGAAACTATGAATGTAATGTCACACTGTGGAAGTTGGAACTAAATTTCCTAGTTAGACTGAATTTTATGAAAACTAGTATTTCTAGTTAGACTTATATAAGATAAATATTTATTTTATATAATTTTAATTTATAATGGATAAATAATTTAAATATATAAATTATATTCTAATTAAATTTATAATATATAAATATTTTTAGCATATGAAGTATAACTTGAATTTATAATAAATATTTTATATTATGATGCAAGAATATTTTTAACTATTGATAAATTATTAAAAATATTAAAATTTAAGTTAAAAATAAAGATAAAAACAATAAATCAAAAGAAATAACAAGTTTTTTTTTCTTCTTAAAACACCTTTGTTGGAAAAACAACTCAAAAATATTCTCATTAAAAAATTTCTCTTAAAAATACTGTCGCATAAATGTTCAATTCATATACAAAGGAGATGGTATTCAATAAATTGATTATTAAAATTTCTCTAAAAAAACTATACTACTTTTTTTCTTAAAAATTCACTTGATATCAGTTTGGCTAAAGCGCTTATCATACAATTTCTTTTTCTAAAATTGTTTTAATTTTTCTAAAATTATGTTTTAAATATAGATGAGATTTATAATTACACCGGTGTAACTTTTATTAAGTATTATACCGTTCAATAACTTTATATTTATTGTGAATTTTGTAAATCCAACTGTTAGATTGAAAGTTCATATCATTTTATATGTATATATCAATTTTTGTTAAAATTGAGCAATAACTTAAAGATAATTAAAGTATTCATATTTTAGTATATTTTAAAATAAATATATTACGTCAATTTTGTTTTATAAAAATGAAGTATCAAAACATCTTGAATTAATATAAAATTTTGTATATATGATCTAAGAGATGTGAACTTTCAGTCTAACGGTTGGATTTTTAAAATTCACATTTAATATAAAGTTAGTGAGCGGTATAATATTAGTAAAAGTTATACCAGTGTAATTATAACCTCCCTCGTATATATATATAAGACAATTCAAATTAATTTATTATTTTTAATTTATTTAATTTATTTTTATTTCTCTCTAACTTGATATTAATAATCATTTATAAACTTTGATGGTTAGACTTGGACAATGCTGGATATACGCGAATACTATAGTTTGCTTGACTTGTACTGCTTCAACTTTACTATATATTTTTTTAGTTTTTTAATTATTTTTTTTATTACTTCATTATATCCCAAATTGTATTAAGATATGTATTTTTTTATTATAATATTGACAAAAATATCCAATTTTTTTTTAAAATTAGTCTCTTATAAAAAATTTGACTGCATTAAGATTATCTTTTACAATATCATTTTTTTTTTGTTAAACAACACTTGGAAGAATAGTCTTAATACAATTAAAGTTTTAAAGGGGACTGGTTTCCAGCAAAATCAATAAATATTTTTGTCAATACTATGGTAAAAACAAAATACATATCTGGCTTAGTACAATTTGAGATATAATGGAAGAATAATAAATAATAAAAAACCACATCATATATTTAAAAAAGGATTTTATGTTTCATTTATAAAATTGAAATATATTGCCAATAAAAATACAAAGCAAAAATAGTATTCAGATTCTTTTATCAAAATTTGCAAATGTACTTTTAAATCACATATGCTAACATTAATAATATAAAAAAAATGGAAATTATTATTAAATAAATATACAACAAATGAATTACATATTTATCGTGCAATAGTTTTAGAGTGGAACTTGTAAGGACAAAACTAAAACTAAACAAAAAAAAAAAAGTAATAAATAGGTATGAATATTGAAGCATGTTTTAATTTATTTATTTAAGATGTATATAAGATACATATTTTCTAATTTAATAAATTTACTATTATTTTGATATCTATTAGTTTAAATAATTTAGGAGACTAACCATAAAAATATAAAAATTGAAAGATTAAATTACTATTTTGGTATCTCATTTTAATTAATTTATTCACGTTAGTTTCTCTATTATTAAAAGGTCTAATTTGGTCTCTCTTTTTTTTTTTTTTTTTCCAATTGAGACTATTTTCTTGTACATGTCACACAATAAGAAAATGATACCTATGCTACATATTAAAAAAAGAGAGTTGAAAATGCATATAAAGTGGTTAACAATGTAAATATAAATGAGTGAAAATACATGATACTTTGATTTTTTTTAATCCAAAACGAAATAATCCAGTAATATTTGGTTCAGGTGGATTGATGGGACTTGTAAATAAAATGGAAAAAAATAAAAAAGATGAAAAGAAATGAAAAACAATTATGAAACTTGTGTCCCTTGCTGTAAGGATCAGTGAATCAAATATCTCCCATGCTGCTTTCTTCTTTGAATACACGAATTCCTAACTATTTGGGGGTTGATTGTAACAATCCCCCTTATATCATATTATTATTACATTACATTAGTTCTGATCTATTTTATAGATTGTTTAAATTTTAGCAAAATTACTTATAGAAGCAATTTTACTAAAATTTAAGCAACCTATAAAGTAGGCCAGAGCTGATTTAACAGTGATATAGTACAAGAAATTGCTTACTATAAATGCTTTAAGAGTATCTGTAATAGAGATTGGTTAGATGCTCTAACACACCTGCATATGTAATCTCCACATGCTTCCATTCCCTTTCTAAAGGCACTTCAAACACATCATCATTGAAACGTAACACGTGTAACTCTTTCATACAGGTTTAGCATCTTCCCATTTTTTAATACTTTTTCCAAACAAGTTGGAACCTATTACTTCCAAAGCCAATGGAAGGTCTGAAGCAAGTTACTACATGATTCAAGACCTCATTGTAACTTGGATTAACTTCTTCTCTTTTAAAAAGCAGTCCACGTAAGCAAACAAAGTGCATCCTTATTATTCAAGTCCTTCACCTCATGTGTTCTTTTAACCTCATGACATGCCAGCTATTGTTCATTTCGAGTGGTGATGATGTCTTTGCTGCCATCAACAAATGTCTAGAACCAAGAGAACCTTCTTTCAATGGAGCCTCCGTTGTATCATTGAAGGATGCTTTGGAGGTGTTTTAGCCCATGTTTGTTTGATTCTTCTCTCACATTTTGAAGAAAATAGAAATCATCAAAATTATCGACAATCAAATTATTATAGATAGCTCGAGTAAGTGTTGATTTTCCTACCCCACCCATTTTGTGAATCCCTACCACGCGGGCACCATCATCAGATCTAATATCCAAAAGCCACCTTACTTGTAGCACTTGTGACTCTAGTCCAACTGATAATCCACAAGATGTAAACAAACAAGATTAATCTTGTCGGTGACCCAGTCTACTATACTTTCAATAAACTTGTATTCATAATCATCTTTGATCAAACAAAAAAAATGCTTCATTGAAGTTAAACTTCAAGCCTTGCATCCATTTCTTGATACATACATTATCAGGGTTAACAAGCGTTTAAGGTTAAATTATTAGACAAGTAAAACTTAATCCAATATAAATTAGTTACCTCTTGTCTAATTATAAGTAAAATGAGACAAATCATCAATTTTAAGAAAGGTAATTAATATAGTTATTTTTATTTAATTCTACCATAAATTTCAATTTTGTCCAAACATGTCATATATTTTAAGTATAAGTAGGTCTTATATTTTCTAACTTTGTAGCATTGCAGCTCTTTCGGGAGGTTGTCATTCTCGCTGATCTGCCGGATAGGCTTAGGCTATTGAGAAAGAACATTGAGACCAATATGAAACATGTTACTCTACGGGGTTCTGTAACAGCAACTGAACTCACATGGGGAGATCTTGATGCAGAAATCGTTGACCCAACACTACGGTCATAATTCTCCCTCAACAGTCAGCCCCTTCCAACATTTAACGATGTGTTTCAAAATCAGTTGAGTTAAATTTAATTAAAGTTTAAAAAAAGTTACATTCCCAATTTTTTTTTTCCATCGGAAAACATATTTTCTCATTCCATGTAATTTTAAACTGATATCTAAAATATACTAACAAGTGACAGAGAGCAAACAAGATTCAACATCAGGTACCGTAAAACTTTCGACACCACACAGTCACTTGTGTTGCTGTGAATTGTGATTATAGCTATTATTGTGCACTAGGAGGGGGTTACCACGCATATACACATGTCTCCACATTGGTGAGATATTGTCCGTTTTGGGCTCAAGCCCTCACGAGTTTGCTTTTGGACATCACCCAAAAGGCCTCTCAACCAATAAAGACAATTGTGTGTATATAAACCCATGATCATCCTCTTATTTGAACGATATGAGACTTTGCTTGCATCTCAACTATCCTCCCCTCAAACAAAGGACCACGGTTTACCCTCCTCTACAACAAAAACTACGAGTATTATCTGATGGTGGTCCCACAGAGCTCACTCACGCACAGAGTGCTTGCACCGCCGCTCCATCATGACCTCTCTCATGACAGCGGGACACGCCTCCTAATCCTACATGTTACTAGGAAGCCTCTCTTCCACATGGACCCACCGTTAGAAAGACTTTCGACACAAGGGATCCCAAACTTGATCCACCTGCCAGCCATCATACCCGTCGAGCCGGTCACCTGATTAGACCATCATGACTTCCCTCAAACTTCCTTGATCACACTTGTAAGCATATCCACCTTGATCCAAAGTTCCAAGAGAAATTAAATTTCTCGAGTTCTGGAACATGTCTTATATCTTGTAGCACTCTGTCCATGCCGTCAAACATTCGTAGCCTTACGGAACCAATTCCTATCACCTTACAAGCTTTATTATTTCCCAACAAGACTGTGCCTCCATCAACTTGGTTGTAAGTTTCGAACCAGTCCTTATTTGGGGTCATGTGGAATGAACAACCAGAGTCCAAGATCCATTCTTTGTGTGTGTCTTGGTCTGTAACGGCCAACACCTCAGCACTTTATAACCATCTTGAGTACAGCCACATCTCCAATGTGTTTGTTTCGTTCATTGGACCTTTCTCTGTTTGGACAGTCTTTCTTGAAATGTCCTTCTTTGTCACAAATGAAACACCTCTTGTTCTTACCTTTGGATTTTGATCTTGAAGATTTCTTTTGCTTGAAGTCTTTCTTTTCTTGCCTTCCTCGTGTGAATAGGCCCTCAGCAACCTGTTCCCCTTTTGAGTCACCGTTTCTTTGGATTTCCTTCGAGTTCAATGTTGCCTTAACTTCTGCCATTATAAGAGATGCCTTCCCATACAACATTGTATCAACAAAATGCTCGAATCTCTTTGGCAAAGAACTCAGCAAGATGATTGCTTGATCTTCATCATCAATCTTCACATCAATACTCTTCAAATCCAGGATGATTTTATTAAAATCATCCACGTGTTTCTTCAAAGATTTTTCTTCCTCCATTTGTAGCATATACAACCGTTTCTTGAGATATAATCTGTTGGCTAAAGATCTCTTTAAGTATAAAGACTCTAACTTCTTCCAGATTTCCACGGCGGTCTTCTCCTCTGCAACTTCACGAAGAACTTCATCTCCAAGGCTGAGCAAGATTGCACTGTGGGCTTTCTTTAAAACCTCAGTGCGCTTTCTTTAAAACCTCAGTGTGTTTCCTCTCCTCCACCTTCTTGATGGCTTCATCCAACAATGCAGCACCCAAGCCTTGATGAACCATTACCCGCCAAAGACTGAAATCATCTAAGCATGAGAACTTCTCGATTTCCATCTTAGCCATCACCATTTTTCTCAAACTCAACCAAAGCTCTGATACAATTTATTGTGCACTAAGAGGGAGTTACCACACATATACACATGTCCTCATATTAGTGAGATATTGTCCGCTTTGGGCTCAAGCCCTCACGGATTTGCTTTTGGACATCCCCTAAAAGGTCTCTCAACCAATGAAAATAATTGTGTGTATATAAACTCATGACCATCCTCTTGTTTGAACGATGTAAGACTTTACTTGCATCCCAACAACTATTATTCTAATCATAGATTTGTAGTTGATTGTAACTTTTACTTCGGTTGATTTGTAATTTTGTATGCCTTGTTAAATATTTGAATTTTGTGACAAGATACTTTGCTAGCATTCCTTTTTAATACCTTTTTTTTAAAAAAAAAATTTAATCTGAGATTCTTTGTTTTAGTGATCATTGCAAACATAAACTTTTCTACAAGATTAGAATTATTAGATAATGTTATAATTTATACCACCATGGTCCCATGAAAATTTTCATTTGGATTCATATTTCAAACGTATCCTAAAATGGCTTTAATACTAGCTAAATAAGTCTTGGTAAAGGAAACCACTGTTCCAATTCCATTTTCCAGCTAAGAACCACGACTAGGAGACTACCAAACAAAATCTTCAGCATTTCATCATATTAAAATGTCACAAAATCGCAAACTTTTGTTTGGAAATCATCAAACCAAACCAAACTCGCATGGATGGAAAGTAACAAAATACTAGGGGGCTAACAAAGAGAAAATATAGTGGTCAACATGTTAAATTCTTTATGCAAAATATGGACATTACGTAACCAGCATTAGAACATTACGCAAGATAGCTAAACATTATTCTTAACAATCATTTCTTTACTAGAACATAAAGAACGACACGATTGCTGCAATAATCAGGGTGCCAGAGTGTTTGCTCCACACGGCCAATAGTGAAATTATTCATTGCAGCTTCTAAGAAGTACTCAAGAATGGCATCTGAAATCAGAAGACACTATTCAGTACTATGTTATGAATTGTGATCACAATCTCCCAGAAAAGAAGAAAAAGGAATGGAATTCTTTACCATTTCGGAGTTCTCCAGCCAAAAATATTGTTGTATTAGGTCCAGAGAGCTGCATAAGTGTCTCTAGCAGATCCACAACTGCCCTCTCACTGTATACTACATCAGACCCTAGCACTGAAAAGTGAAAACAAGAAATCAGCCAATCAGGTATTAAATCAATCAATAAGCAAATTCACATTACTAGTTGAAAACAAAAAAGGCATCTTATGGCACTCTTTCTCGTTCAATTAGTCATTAGCCCAAAACACCAAAATGGACAGTTTTTATACGCATACATAACATTAACAAGAACCCTATGATGCTAATCTGTAACAAAAAAATTATACATCTATTATGAATCCAAAATCCAAATGGTGGTATAAGTTGTAACAACATTATCTAATGATTCTAATTCTAATATTGTAAAAATGGTTATATTTGCAATGATCACATCACAAACAAAGAATCTCAGATTAAAAAAAATAAAATAAATAAAAAGGAATGCTAGCAAAGTATCATGAGACAAATGAAATTCAAATTTTTAAAGGGGCATACAAATCAATGGAAGATACGGATACAATTATCTACAAACCCATGAATAGAATGATAACTGTAATCACAATTCACGGCAACACAAATGACTGTGACATGTCATAAGTTTTCTGGAGCCTGTAGTTGAATCTTGTTTACTCCTTGTCACTTGTTAGATGTGAGAAAGGGCTGAGGGAAAATTATTACCATAATCCGGTGTGGGGTAAATGATTTCTGCATCAGGATCTTCTCCCCATGTGAGTTCAGTTGCAGTTATGGAACCCCGTATAGAAACTTGTTTCATATTGGTCTCGATGTTCTTTTTCAATAGCCTCATCCTATCTGGCAGATCAGTAAGAATGACTTCACCACCTAAAAGAGCTGCAATGCAACTAAGGAATAAAATATAAGAAAAGTGGATTATATAATTATTAAGAACTAGCTAAAAAATAATTCTCCACCATTTGCTAGACAACTTGAAGCTAGTTTGGATTTGTATATATTTCTCAGTTCTGGACAAGCACTTGTAGGAAAAGAAAATAAGATGGATCAATGAGGCAAAATGAATCATTATCAAACTCCTCTCATAAAATAAAATCATCTTATGCACAACAATTCAAGGAGTAGCAAGATTAGGACTTATCAAAAAGTTAAGGTGCATAAATTGATTTAAACTCATGGGAGAAGTTTGATTCATTTTACCTTCTCCTTAGTTCATCTCATTTTCTTCTCCTATAATATAAGGGCTTATTGAGAATTTTACCCAAATTGTCTCTTAGTTGTAAAAAAAAAAAAAAAAAAGCAAAAGCTCAAAGCTCTACTTTCCTAGTTCATTAAATCCATGTGGAAAAGGCCTAAAGCTAATGAAGGAATTATTCTCCTTTTGACATGAATTGATCAACAAGACTGAACTTGCAATTGTAATTACCCAACTAATCCACAGCCAGATCCCAATTCAACAATTTTCTTGCCCTGAAGGACAAGCATCCCTGAATCAACAGAATGCTCCAGAAACTTCCCCAATACAACTCCACTGTCCCACATCACTGCTCCAGTCACTCCAGGAGTTCCCTTAAATCAAAAGTCCAAAATGCCATAACTGTAAACTTCAATTCAACAATAGCCAATTCATGGTACAATGGTCATTTCACCAACAAATCTTAAAACTAGATATCAACAATTAGAATAGCCACACGCTAAAGCAGCAGCTGTTTGAGCACTAATGTGAATTATCCATATCAACAGATTCATCACAACACCTAAAATCACCAAAAATAAATAAAAACAACCAAAACCACGTCTCTATCTCTGAATCACCAAAACATGCACGAGCACAGGCACAACAAAAATTAAACTAAGTCGGTCACCAAGTTAAGTTTGTTTCTTCTCTTATCTGAGTTCTGTTCCTACAAAACAAGTGCACATCATCCAAGACACTATACATATTCATAATTACTCGGTGTGAAGTTCATATGTTCATTTTCCCCAAATTCAGACCCTCAACAAGGGCCAATGCAAGCTTCTAACTTTAAGCAACAACAACCACCAGCATGGAATTTTACGAAATGGGTGACCAAGTTGAGTTATAACCCAAAGCATGATAAAAATGAAAGGTTGAAGTAAAGCAGTGATACCAAGGAAGAAGGTGATTGGAGAATGGAGAGAGGGTGGCCACATGAGTCGAGCGAGAGTTGCAAGGAAGATTGAGAAACAAAGGCGTTGGGTTTGGAATATGTGGGTTGCTGAATACCCCAAAGAAGCATGGTCTCCTCCGCAGCAGATTCGTCTCCATCAACCACCAAGCGAACCTCACCGCCGTACGAACCCAACTTCACCATTCGTGGTGCCGCGCCTTCATCTTCCTCTTCATTGTTGTTGGCCATGTTCACTTGTCACCTGTCCTTCAGATTCAAATGCCTTTTCTTATGTTATGCCTTTTTGGTTTAGATGCCCTTTTAGTTTCTGTGATGTAATGCCTAGGGATGGCAAATAAACCCGTACCCGTGGGTAATACCCGAACCCGTCCCGACTTTGACGGAGAATACTCGGTTTGACCGGGTACGGGGACGGGTACGGGTAAAACCCGATAAATTAAACCGGGTACGGGTACGGGTACGGGTATGGTGTCATACCCGTACCCGTACCCGTACCCGGTTTAATTTATCGGGTTTTACCCGTACCCGTCCCCGTACCCGGTCAAACCGAGTATTCTCCGTCAAAGTCGGGACGGGTTCGGGTATTACCCACGGGTACGGGTTTATTTGCCATCCCTAGGCATTACATCACAGAAACTAAAAGGGCATCTAAACCAAAAAGGCATAACATAAGAAAAGGCATTTGAATCTGAAGGACAGGTGACAAGTGAACATGGCCAACAACAATGAAGAGGAAGATGAAGGCGCGGCACCACGAATGGTGAAGTTGGGTTCGTACGGCGGTGAGGTTCGCTTGGTGGTTGATGGAGACGAATCTGCTCGAAAACGGGGATGGATATAACTCGCGGGGACGGGGACGGGTATCATAAAACCCGTACCCGACCCGCCCCGTTGCCATCCCTAGTAATGCCCGATAACAATTTTTTTTTTTTTGCTAAAACCCTATTTTGGTCCCTTATAATCTTTTTTTGTTTCAATGTAGTCCCACTTTTATTTTTGGTTTTAATTTGGTCCCAAATTAATTAATTGGTTTCAATTTAGTCCCAAATTAATTAATTGGTTTCAATGTGAAACTTCCGTCCAAATTATTTAAACGGAATTAACTTTTGAGCACGTGGATGTCACGTAGATGCATACGTGGATGCCACGTGGATGACTTTTTTTTTGAAACCACCTGGACCTAGAATGGCCCGTTCTGAAACCAGAACGGGCCGTTCTGGTTGCACTTTTCTTGTGTTAATTTTGCAATTGAAACGGGCCGTTACAGATGCGAAAATTAACACACCACCAGTGCAGCAGAACGGGCCGTTCTGAAAACAGAACGGCCCGTTCTGGTTTCAGAACGGAACTGAGAATAGAATATTCTTTGCTTAATTGTGTTTTTGATCGCTCAAGTATTATAATTATGCAATTTTGATATCTAAGATTTTAATTGAGTAATTTCAGTCCTTAAAAGATTTTAGTTGTATAATTTTAGTCTCACAATTTTTAATTGAACAATTTTAATCTCTCAAATATCAAATATCATATATTTTATAAAATTATTAATATTTTATATTTATAAAAAATGAAACCGGAACGGGCCGTTCTGAAACCGGAACGGGCCGTTCTGGTTTGGTGTGTTAATTTTGCATCTGGAATGGGCTGTTCCGGATGCAAAATTAACACACCAAAAGTGCAACCAGAACGGCCCGTTCCGGTTTCAGAACGGGCCGTTCTGGGTCCAAGTGTTTTAAAAAAAATTGTCATCCACGTGGCATCCACGTATGCATCTACGTGGCATCCACGTGCCCAAAAGTTAACTCCGTTTAAATAATTTGGACGGAAAGTCTCACATTGAAATTAATTAATTAATTTGGGACTAAATTGAAACCAATTAATTAGTTTGGGACCAAATTGAGACCAAAAATAAAAGTGGAACTACATTGAAACAAAAAAAGATTATAAGAGACCAAAATAGGTATTTAACCTTTTTTTTTAATCTTTTATCTATAATTTATAACATGGATAAAGACAAATTTGATTTAGTCTACATTTTTTTTTTATGATTTTGCTTTTATATTTTTAAATAATAAAAAATAATTTAAAAATTAATTATCCTTACCTTCACAAAATTCAAATTTAAGATTTTAAATTTAAAAATCAAACCCAATACATTTATTTAATAAATATTATTAATTTTTAAATAATTTTATTAAATAAAATATAAAAACATGAAATATCATGGCTCAACTAATAATTATAATGACAATGATAAATTTTAACTTAACACTCTATATATCTATTTGAAAAATCATTTAACACTACTTGAATGAATTTTTTCCACTTTCCAATAAAAAAAATTAAGTAAGTAATATGTTACTTTTGGATTAAGTTATTTGTAACGGTAAAACAAAAGCATCTTTAGGCATGACAATTTAACCGTCTCCGTGGGTACTCGCCCGAACCTGTCCCGATTTGGACGAGGAAAATCCGTGTTTATCGGATTTGGGTTTTCCCCGATTAATAAAATCGGGGACGGGAATGTTAATACCCACCCTGCCCCCGCCCCCATACCCGCCCCCGCCCCCGCCCCGCTTAATAATATAATTAAAAAATTATGTATATATATATATAAACTAAAAACGGGGACGGGGCGGGAAAACTCGAACCATGCCAGGAACGGATATGGAGACCTAGATTTTACCCCGGCGGGTATCGGGACAGGAGCGGGAGCGGTTTAAATCTGCGAGAGCGGAAGCGGGGAACGTAAAACCCGCCCCCGCCTTTCCCCGTTGCCATGCCTACACATCTTATATATTTTATCTTTAACTCTAGTAATTTTTTTAACTATTATTACATTTTGTGTAACAGATTAAATATTATTATAATATATTATATATATAAAAAATATATTATATGTAATATACAAGTTATATTTAAAATTTATGTAATCCAATTTCTAAATCTATCAAATCCTTTTATTTTACAATAGTTTCCAATCAAGAAATTGAAATGACTCAAGAAATTGATCGAATTGTATCGATTTTAAATTTTTTCACCCGAAATCATCAATAACCAACCAATAATCAGGCCTAATTAATTGTGAAGTTTGTTGGTGTATTATCTAGTGTGATATGTAATAACTTTATACTAACTTACGAGAATGTGATAGATAGACTTGATTGAAATTAACTTGTAGCATAAGCTTATACATATTACTACTATAAGGCATTTAACAATCAATAAAGCCAAGCTTTTATATTCATCTTTGTTTTTCTTTATTTTACTTTCCACACACTCAAGCTCTTTGCTACGACTTTACGTCAAAACCTTTCATTTATAGCTTTTGACTTGACTTTTCTTTCCATATCTATTTCTCAACAAATTTAGATAATTCTTATTTTTCACAGTATGCTTTCTAGAATAGCATCAATACCTAAAGTTGACTAGTTGAGGAGTTGAGTCCATTGGTTAGTACACCTTCATTTGCATTCCACATGTTTACATACCTAAAAAATGTTGTGATATCAAAAGTTTAAATTTGGGAACAGTTTATATGAAAGAGGAGTTTTTCATTTAAAAATTAATTTCACAAATACTCACATAATTGTACTAACAAAACGAAATACATTTTTTTTTTCTCTTTTATCATTCTATGAATAAACACTTTCCTACTATTTAGTTGATAATTACAAGTTTTCTCCATACAATAAAGTCAAACTTAAGTTATCATACTTTTTTTCAACCTCTCATCATTATGTTAAAGTTAGTGGTTGTTCTTACCTTTTTATGATTCAACCCAAACATATTTACCATGTATTTCAAATTATTTTAATTTTTAATAAAAACATCTCTTTCTCAAAGTATCTTAAATTACAAATTGATTGAAGTAAAAATAATAATCTAAATACATTTTCATACTCGGAGCGAAAGGTTTAGCTTGAATTAAAAAATATATATTTTTTCCTAAAGATGTTGAAGTTCATCCACCCCACTAAGTAGATATTGGCTAGTTTATTATGATTTTGAGTTGTTTCCAAGTTTGCAACTATCCCAGCATTCAGAGTCAAAGCACTTAGGTCGTAAAGGCTATTACCAGCTAGAAATCAATATAAACAACTAATCTTATTGCAGAAATGAAGTTATATTCCTCTTTATTTAATGGTATATATCTACATCGCACATAGTTTCAACCTTGCAAAACTAAATTTGGCTGTCACCAACTATTGTTCATTGAAACAAATTTCATTTTTGATTCTCTATAGCAACTAGTGCTACCTTGAGAAATTTTTTCAAAATTATACATATGGTTAAAAAAAAAATCAATAGTACGGTATATTAACCAATAAATTGGTACATAAGTGTGTATCCCTTAAATATCCTTATAGGGCTTAAATTATGAAAAAGGATTTGATAATTTCTATATATACCATACCACAGAGGAATTAATCTTTGTTATCAGTAACAATACTTTTGATATACACACAAGAAACAAAAAATGTAATCAAATATTTACGCAGGTAACTATATATATATATATATAGGACATGTTTAAATAAATCTCTTTCCAAAAGCATTTTTAGGAGAAAAAATATTAAAAAAAATGTAATAATTTTTTTTATAAGTTAAAACTAGTTTATACATGAGTTATAAATAAGATTTTAAAAAAGCTAATAAGAAAACATTTTTACAAATTAACTTATACATAAATTAATTTAAATTTATGAAAAAAAAATTTCATTTTTTCTTTTTTATTTTATCTCTAAAAGTATTTCTTGAAAAAGTTATCCAAAAATACCCATAAATTAATTTCAACTTTGTTTATTTTCTTTCTTATTTTCTCCTTCAATAAATACTTATCAAAAATTTGATACAAACATGCGCTAAATCTATTCCATAAAAATCATTGCCTCAAATTGCTGAACCTGTTCCCCATCCTAAAATCCTATGTACTAGAATTTTCACAAACATGGCATCCTCTGGAATCCAGTTGGTTAGTCACTATCATTGTTACATATCACCAACATCCAACCTAGTGTTCCTCTTTTGAATTCTTAAGAAGGGGAATAGCATCATAGTAGTGGCTAAAATTCTTGTCTCCATAAGGATATGGTTCACCTAATGTGAGCAATATTTGTAGTGCCTCCTTCATGGAAGGCCTAGTAGCAGGAAGTGTTGCAGTGCACATGACCCCAAGTTTGAAAACAGTGCACATTTCATCTAAGTTAATGGCTTCCTTGATATCTTTGTCTAGCAATTCTTCAACATTGCTTCCAATGAGAATGTGACGCCAAGCCCACTCTGAAAGAGATGAGTGTTGGTCTCCATAATTTGCTTCTTTACCTGTTGTCAGTTCCAATAGGACTACCCCAAAGCTAAACACATCAATCTTTTCACTGACTCTTGTTGTTTGAACATATTCTGCATATCAAATATGAAAAGTTACATTGAGAATAAACTTGTATGGTTATGGAAAAACAAAAAAGTAAACCTCTATTTTGTGCAAAAGATTACAAGTGTGATCACTCTAGCTTCTGACTTTACAATACCTTCAATTTAGTCATACTTTGCAAAAAAAGTCATTCATTTTAGTCCTTCATTTCATTCTAGGATTTGACTCATCTAAAGTGGAAAATGCACTTTTGAAAACAAAGTGCAATAATAAGTTGATAACTATTAAATAGAAATCAGCAATGGATATTGCAGTTAATTTTAGAGTATTATAGTTGTATTTTATTGTATCACAATTCTCAACGGTTGAATTTCTAATCAATGATTTTGAATGCGTTTTATTTTGTAAGGTGCATCTTTTCACTTTAGAGCAGCCAAATCATCCAAAGTGAAAGACTAAAGTGAAAACCAAGTAAAATCTTCAACTAAATAACTAAATATGACAATATTAGAGACTAAAATGAAGGTTTACTCAAAAGGAGACACATAATTTAACTAAGCAAAAGCAATATATTTGTTAGTTAGGATTTAGGAAACAAAAAGATTAGTATGTCTGTCACTCACCTGGAGCAATATAGCCAAATGAGCCAATCACAGATGACATGGTGTTAAGTTCCCCTGGCTTGATTAACATCCTTGCTAGTCCAAAATCAGCAACTTTTGCATTGAATTGAGCATCCAAAAGGATGTTGCTTGTTTTAACATCTCTATGAACAACAGGTGGTGAACAATCATGGTGCATGTAGCTCAAACCTTGAGCAACCCCAATGGCTATTTTCAACCTCTTTGGCCAATCAAGGGCCACTTTATTGACTGCACCAGACACAGCCAATGGCTTAACGTTCTTGTGCAGCCACTTATCTAGGCTGTGATTTTCCATATACTCATACACAAGTAGCATAGAATCTTCATTAGAGATACAACACATCAACCTCACAATGTTGGTATGCCGAATATTGCCAAGTATTCTAACTTCTGCACGGAAAGAGCTCTCAAGCTTCTGGTCTAAATTTCTGTTGTTCCTAATCCTTTTCACAGCAACACAGCCAAAATCATCAACATCAACGCGGTATACTGTACCATATCCACCACTTCCAATAATGTTCTGTTCAGTCATTGATGAGACAATGCTTGATTCTGTGAAGTTCAGCCTCTGAAAGGAAATGAGCTTCCATGAGTTGTCCAATGCATGCTTTCTTTTTCTGTGAAATCTAATGAACAAGACTGATGCCAAAAGGGCCAGTAACAAGGCCACTACCACCAAGGTTATGATCAAACCAATAGACCAAGATGAACCTTTGCTTTTTCTTTGAAGGCCAGAATTGCACAAGGTAAGGTTCAGTGTTGGGGTATCAGCACAAAGGCCAGAATTTCCCAAAAAGCTACTAGCATACACTGAATTGTCATATTCCCTTGGAATCCTCCCCGTGAAGTCATTAAAAGACAAATTTAAATTGGTGAGTCTGGGAGGTAGATAAGGAACTTGGCCAGAGAATTCGTTTTCTGATAGATCAAGTTGACTAAGGACAGGTAATTGACCAATTGCATTTGGGATTTGTCCAGAGAGTTGGTTTTGGCTTAAATTTAGAGTTACTAAGGATTTCCATGATATTATGTCTGATGGAAGTGGCCCAGTGAGTTGGTTCTGATCAAGCAACAAGGTTGTTAACCTAGAAAGAGATGTTAGCTCTTGTGGAATACTTCCATTAAAGTTGTTCTTACTGGCATCAAGCACTACCAAATTAGGCCATAATGACACTCTTGGAATTCCACCAGAAAACTGATTGTAACCTATCTCAAACCTTGAAACATTCCAAGATAGCCTTTCAGGAAGCTCACCAGTGAACTTATTATGGCTCACCATGAAATTCGACAAATTGAGAAATGTCCAAATACCACTGGGAATGTTACCAGAAAACTCATTATTGTGAATTTTCAGATCCATTAAACCACTGCAATTTCCTAGTGATTCTGGCAACTCACCACTCAGGTTGTTATCATAAACAGACAAGTTAAGTAACAGCCCATTATAGCACAAGTTCTCGGGTAACTTCCCAGTAAGATTGTTAGATGCAGTCAAAAAGGTTTGAAGCTTTGAGTAACGGCCAAAATCAGTAGGAAGAGTACCTGATAACTTGTTGAAAAACACACGAAAATCCTTGAGAGCTGGAAGATTCCCTAGGCTTTCTGGTATCACACCTGACAAGCTATTCAAAGACAAACTCAACCATGACAACTGTTGCAGCTTTCCAAAACCATCAGGTATTTTCCCTGTGAGATTGTTCCTTGCAAGATCAAGGTTGACCAGGTTCAATGCCTCAACCACACTTGGTATTTCCCCAGAAAGACTATTTGCATAGAGATACAGTGTGGTAAGATTCTTCAGCTTGAACAAACCAATTGGAATTCCACCAGTTAAGCCATTTTTTGACATATCCACCTTCTCCAAAGCCACCATATCCCCAATTCTCTCAGGAATTTCCCCAACCAATTTGGTGCTATACAGATAAAGCACCTTCAATTTGTTAAACTTGGTCAAGTTCCATGGCATCTTCCATTCAGGAAACATGAAGTTGGAGGACAAGTCCAAGTACTCTAGGTTGGACAAATCATCAATCTCAGCAGCAACAGTGCCATTCAACAGGCAATACTGAAGCTTAAGCTCTCTCAATTGCTTTAACTTTCCAACACTAGGTGGAACACCACCAGCAAAGTTGGTGGAACTGAGGTTGAGATATTGCAAATTGGCCCCCAATTTGTCAATATCATGTGGAACCATGCCATCAAAGTTGTTCCTGGACAAGTCTAGGTACTCCAACTTGGAACAATTGTAGAGGGGTGTGGGGAAGCCACCAGGGATGAGGTTGAAGCTGAAGTCAAGGTGTGTGAGGTTGGTGAGGTCACAGATGAAGGGTGGTATTGTGAGGGTGATATTGAGATTGGAGAGGGTGAGGGAAGTGACTGAGGCATTGGTGCATGTGATCTCTGGCCAAGTACAGTGAGAGGAAGTTGAAGTCCAGTGAGAGAGGAATGAAGGGTTCTTAAGGTATTGCTTTATGTTCAACAAAACTTCATGTTCTTGATCATACAACTGAGCTTGTGAGGCTGTGAGGCCAAGGAAGAAGAACAGAACAAGAAAGAGGTAATATGGAAGTTTCATACATGGTTGAATTATTGATATTGTCATCTAGATGAGCGTGTGTGAGAGAGAGAGAGAACAAGTTCTTTTTTTCTGGTTTTCTTTGTTTGTATGATAAGGTGTGTTGTGTGTGTTGCAATGACACATGAGAAGGATGATTTTGGTCAGCACTGGTACATTGAATTACGAATGTTTACACCAAAAAGTCGAAAATGGTTGGCTTGCGTTCAGACTATTCAAACGGTACTGTATCTGAAATCTAATATATATAGATACTCAATAAGATAAAAGTTTGGTAGATTATTATGTGTGGTCTCTCTGATTAGCTTCAAAGTTTTAGTAGATCTGTATTAAATATAATTTCATAATATTGAAGTGAAACATTAAATTTATCAGAATATCAACAATAACTAATAAACTGTACTTACATTTTTTTTCATAATTATATACAGTTTTCTATATTTTGAATGGTGTAAAGGATTAACTTAAGGATAAACTTAAATTTGTTTAATAATAGAAAATTTAAGAAGCTTCTGCGTAATAACAAAGTTTGGGGTCAAAAGTTTCCTGTGTGACATAATTATATATGAAGTCAGAATAGGAAGAACATCTTTGGATAGTGACCTTAATTATAAGGGCCGTGAGTGAAACACAAACCAATAATTATAAAATTTGGTCAACTCAACTCAATAACAATTTCGTATTCTGTGAAGAAAAAAAAAACAGTATTTCTTCTTTTAATAACTTAGTATATGGATTTTCCTTGCTTACGATATTAGCTTCAATTTGTCAATATTCTCATTAATAAACCTTGGTTAGCTTCCGCACGCACAAAACTTTGAACCAAATCCACCACTAATAGTTCGTGTGTCACTTCATTATATTATTTATTATTATTATTAAAGACCAGAGCTACAAATGCACTTTTTACACATTCCTTTGAATATATTATTTTTTATTCATGCTAAATCATTTAAGTACAAATTTTTATGGGAGTTATAAAAAAATATATATTTCACTCTGTATAATTTATTTCATGTATAACATTAAGATTTGAATTTTGAATTATGTAATTAAGAGGCATAAATGTCAATTAATATTGATTTTTAAATTTATTCTTTATTATTTTAGTCAAAATAAAAAAAATATATATATATATTAAAAAAATCAATAAATAATAAATGAGACCCATACAAATTTGTGTTTTCAATTAAATTTTACTAATATTAAATAATATATTTAAAATAATTTTTTAAGTAAAATTTCCCTCGCACTTTACAATTTTTTTAAAATTAAATCACGTTGAGGTTAAATAAGATTATTATAAGAAAGCAACATTTATTTTCCAACTATAAACAAAATCGTATATTTAGGATTTAAATATGATATTGTTATTTAAATTAAAATAAGTTCATATTAATTAATCCATACATTTGCTGTTTAATATTTCTGTTTGTATGTTTTATATTATTTTAATTTTTCAATTTTTATAACTACAAAAAAATTAACAAAAATATGTATTAAAAATATGTAATATTATATTATTTTTAAGGTAATAGGTGTTTATATAAAATTAAAAATTATTAAATAAAATTTGTTAAATATCAAAAAAGTGTAAATATAATTTACCCTTTGTAATTATCATAATAAGATGATATTCTAGGTACTAAAGAACATAGAATTTTTTGTATTATTATTATTATTACAATATTCTTTTGGGCTTTGGAATTTGATTGCGTGACGAAATTGTTAGCTTCTAGAATCTGACGAATGATTTGATTTCATGTAATGAAGAGAATGAGAGACGAGAATATAAATATTTTGTTGCCGTAAATAAACAGTTACCAAATCTTTACTCTTTTATCATACTGAATTATAAAGTCATGGAATAATTCCAAATAATCTACAGCCTGAAACCCAATCATAAACAACGAATGAAAATTTGTTAATACCAATTGGTTCAATTTTCATTTTGAATATGAAATCGTATCATTTTATTTTTAAAATAGATAAATTCCATCAAAAACAAGTTATACATGCTGGATTGAATATATTTGGAAATTAGATGTTTAATTTGAAAGTTTTAAAAATATATTGTCAAATTAAATAATATTATTAACAAAATACTTAAAAATAACTATAAACAAATAATATAGACAAAGTCATCCACGAGTTAATGTAATGATTAAATATTTTACATTCATATATTGTGGAGATGATTTATTTAATAAGAAGTTTATATTCAATTTTCACTTTTTTTTGGTTGGTAAGTTAGATATCAGGGAGCACTTCATCACTAGGTAGTGAGTAAATCACATAAGTGAATTTGACATCACATCATAACTCAAAAACCTGAAAACATTATTAGGTTGGTAGATCTTTCTTACTTATATATTGTACTACTAAACATGTCTAACTCTATCCTATGTGAAAAACTTATTCACACTTAACTTCAACACCCTCCTCAAGTGTGAGTCTCTTCTACATGGTAATCATGTTCTCCTTTAAGCGAAGGTCTTTTTTGTCTAGGGTATTCAATGATGGTCTACTTGCACTGTCTTTAGAAAGACTTTCAATACAAGAGATGATCTCACTCTTAGATCCTATGTTAATTCACTATTTAGCGTCTACAACTAACTTCATTGTTTAATACTCATCTGAGTCGATCACTTAGTTGAACCATTGACTCTAATATTATTGTTAAGTCAAAGTCGAGGTTTAAACACTGGGGAACACTTCACAGTTTACACAATGGGTAATGGATAAACCACATAAGTGAGTTTGACACTACATCTTAACTCAAAATCTTAAGACATTAGGTTGATAAATTTTTCTCACTTATCAAGTAACTTAACATGTCTAAATTTATTCGATGTGAGACTCATATTCACATTTAAACTCCAACAACTTTATATGAAGACTTATCAAGTTAGTAATAGTCATAGTATTGTGAACAAGATTAGTCTTGAAGCACTTGAATAGAACTATGCTTCACAATAAGGAAAAAAAACTTCATTAAAGCCAACACCTTCTCTTTGTGTAAATCATTTTGCAACAAGTCTCGCTTTGAACCTTATTACATCTTTCTTCTTGAATATCCACTTGCAACCTGCAATATTTTGATTAGTTGGTTTATCAACAAGTTCCTAAGTCTAATTCTTATGGAAGAATTCAATGTCTTCTTTCATGGCATCAATCCATTGCGACGCTTCATCACAATTAATTGTCTCATGGAATAAACTAGGTTCTGGCTCATCAATATTTTTTGTCATACTAAGTGCAAAAGCGACAAAATCGCCATACCTTTGAGGTGTTCTAATTTATCTTCTTGGCCTATCTTTAGTCAATATATACTAAGACTTTATTATTATGACTTCATCTTGTGTCTCCTATGATTTTGTTTAAGAGCTTCAGTTTCAAGCTCCACCTTTTTGCTAGCACCATGAAATTCAAGTTTACTATCATGGTCCTCATGTGGTCTTGAGTTAAGCATGATTATCTCATCAAAGGTCACATCTCTAATAATCATGAGTTTTGATTCTTAAGGACCCCATAACATGTACCTTTTTACATCATCTTGATAACCCAAAGATATGCGTTTCTTAGTTCTTAGTTCCAATTTTCCTTCATTAACATGAGCATAATATAGACACCTAAATACATGAAAAATTGAATAATTTGTTGTAGAGCCTGACCACATTTCTTTTGAAGTCTTGCATTCAATGATTGTTGAAGGAGACCCATTCACCAAATAACATGTAGTATTGACTACCTTTGCCCAAAATTTCTTAGGCAAACTTGCATTTGAGAGTGTGTAGCGAGCTCTCTCAAGCAATGTTCTTTTCATTCGTCCTATGACACCATTTTGTTGTGGTGTGTGTCTCACAATTCTATGACGAGTTATTCCTTCATTTGCGTAGAACTAATTGAACTCCCTATTGAAAAATTTCAACCCATTATCTGCCCTGAGTTGTTTGACCTTCTTCTTAGTCTACTTCTCCACTAGATATTTCTAATGCTTGAACTTGAGGAATACATCACTCTTTTGTTTCAAGACATAAATCCAAACTTTCCATGAATAATCATCAATGCAAGTTAACATGTATCTTGGTCCATCGTGAGAAGGAACACTTGACGGATCCCACATGTCTAAATGGATATAATCTAGAGTCCCTTGCATTCTATGAACTTCAAAACTAAGCATTATTTTTCATAAACACAATGCTCACAAAAACCTAGCTTCCTAGTTCTTTATTCACCGAGCAAGCCTCCCTTGCTAAGCTCATTCATTCCATGCTCACTCATATGGCCTAACCTCATATGCCATAAATGAATCTAGTCAAGATTTGAAATAGAAGAAATTGCGACTGTACCACCATGCTGTCTTGCAAGATATATAATCCATTTTTAAACTTTCCTTTCATAACTATTAAGGCACCTCTAGAAACTCTCAAGACTCTTCCTTCATCTCAATATGAACAACCAAGGGAGTCTAAAGTGTTCAAAGAAATTAAATACTTTTGGAGTTCAAGAACATGCCTCACATTGGTTAATGTTTTCGCAATACCATCAATCATCCTAATTTGTGTTTTACCTTTAGCAACTATACTACAAACACCATCATTCCCCCATTTGAACTTTGCCACTGTCAATCTCTTTGTACGTGATAAATCAATCTCTATTAGGAGTCATGTGAAAGGTACATGCTAAATCAAGAATAATCCAATAATTAATCATCATTTACATTAGATGAGACAAAGAGAACATTCCACCATCTGATTTTTCCAAGGCCCCGATTGGTCCACCATACTTTGAAGTACTTGTTTTATCTTTCTTGAGCAATTACTATACTAGAGAGGTGTGTGATATCGCAATGGTAATTAGCGAGTTAATCCCATAAGTGACTTGGTTAATGCATGTCAATGTCGTCATATGTTCACACCCAAGTTATATTATACCTGACACTAGTATTCCAATTTAGTTGTCGATCTAGCAAGCGTGTAAGGAATGAAAAATGATTGATTGGTTTGGTAGGATCGAGTCACTTAAATTGAATAAGTGTTGTAGGACATCTTTGTAAGTAAATGTGTGACAATGCATTAGTTGAGGTGGGTATATGATGTGTTGTTATGGTGATTTTTCATGTTATATGAATGACATTGGTGCAGTGCGAATTCGATTAAGTATTTACCTTTGATACAGGTGTTGGATGTCATG